ATTCAACCAAGCACTGTCTCCAGAAGACACTTCAATGGCTTGGGCTGGAGTCACTCACCAGTTGTTTTAGCTCACAGCATCTTCTGCTCCATTCCACTGGTGTGTTTCTCCCTGGAGACCTCTGGAGTCTCCTGTTTTCACTGTGTTTCTATAGATTCTATCTTCTTTACTCACACCATGATCCAGGAGCTGGACAAAAGTATAAATTGACATTCTCTTTTTCTGCATTGAGGTCTGTCTCTTCACTTTCTCAGCGGGCTCCCATTTCTCTTCAGATCCTTCCTGGGGTTCAGGAATCCATCTCCCTCCTTCTCTCCCCAAATTGTTATTTTCCATTGTTGAGACTCTGAACCTTGGAGAGATTGATTTATTCCTGCGTACCACTCTCCCATCTTCCCAGAGTCCTCTATTTCGATCTCTGTTGAATTGCTTCTTCATATCCTGAACTGTCTTCCTTAATTCACTCAGCTGTTTATTTTTATCCTCTGTGAAGTCCTTGATCATTTAAAAAAATCAGGGTTTTGAATTTTTTGGCATTTCATCTATTTCAGTATCTTTACATTCAGTTACTGATGAATTGTGGACATGAAGAGTCATGTTGCCTTGTTTTTTTAAATATATTTTGTGTTTCTATATTGAGATTTGTGCATCTGTTGGGATGAGTATCTTTTCCACTTTTATTTGATGGACTCCTTAGTGTTTAGCCTTTTTTTGAGGGCTGAATCTCTAGCAACACCACTCAAAGATTGACATACATCCCTCAGTAATGGCGATGACACAAAGACAAACCAGCTGTGGATATACAGTAAAAACAAATTAAATGCCACTACTATACCACAATTAATAGAGATCAGTAATAATAACACACAATAAATTAATTTCTCTTGACTTCTGTTCAAGGATCACTGATAACAAAGAGCACTCTTTCTTTCACTTTGTGAACATTAATGAAGAGATTAATTCCTTAGGTAATATGTTTCATCATATCCAGCCTGTCATTAACAAACTATCATTGTTAGGAAAAAGGAAAAGAAACAGAGGTACAAGCTCAGCAGACAGGTTTATTTCCGAACAAACCTGAAAAGGACCATTCTGGCAGTACAAACCAAACTAGCTAGCTCTCATACAGGCTATAAGATCTTTTATAGGGTCATGAGCACAAAAAAAGGGAAGCTGTGGTTGGAGAAAGTCACAATGGGACTTTCAGTGAGGAGTTTGTACAAAAGAGTTATAGCTATCTGCCTGGGACTGGGCTCAAGGACATACAAGAAGTTGAGTGTTGTTCATCAAGAGCAGGGCTTACCAATGATTCAAAATTATAGGATGTTTCTTAGCTTACTGGGCTTTATCAACACATGAATATACATGTGCAGAAGGTGCAAGAATACAGCATGGGGAAGGGACTTAGGGTGGGCTCTGCTCAGACCAGGACGGCAGTGGTCAGATTCCTTCAGTCATATTTACAGGGAAATGTACTTTTGTATCCTGTATGAGGTGCTGTGCTGAAATAAAGGTACTTCCCATTATTAATATGAGGAAGATATTAAAACACTGCAAAGAAGACCACGTGGTTTCTTTAATTGCCAACTGTGTTTTTGTTCATTTCCTATTTTAATTGACCAGGTAAAATACTGTTTTTCATGGTCAGTGTTCAGTGCTATAATAGTTTTATGAATTTTTTATTGCTGCTAATGTAAAGTTTGTTTACTTTCTCCATTAGTTAGCTGTACCTTTACTGTGAGATTGTTAGTTCTCAGACAAACTATAATTTAACATGCTGTTTCTCATCAAGTTGGAAAACCTTGTGTCGGAATTATGCTATGTTTGCCACTGATGGCAATTAACATTTGCAGAAGTGCTGTATCTATGATTCACATACTGTGAACATGCTCAGATATTATGCTAAAATCTGAAAGGGAACATTCATGCTGAAAGTTGTCTCTTTTGAGAGGAAAAATCCATTTCAGAGGAATTAAGACTTCAACTGTGAAAGTGACTATAATCTTTGCTAAGTCTT